ATAAGTCTGCAACGAGCCATGTGCTGTTTTACCTTACGGTGAGCTGAACTTTGCATAAACTTTTAACGGGCCCTTCCGAAACAAGCGTGGCAGGTATGCAGGTCAAAAGTATCAATCATTTCATAGCTGCATTTGCAAGCCATGAAGTGCATGAGCCAGTGCATTTGCAAGTATGTAACTACCGCTGTTGCAGGTAGTTGCTGCAGTTCTGGCAGGTAGCTTGCATGAACAAGCTCGTAAGACGGTTTGAAATGACCTGCGACGCACCAACAGTTGTCCTCGTCAATCTGTGCCTATTCGTCTCACAAAATCCGGCGAGCCCGGACCCAGGGTATGGAGAGCAAAGCCGACCAAAGTCGAATGTAAACGGCGATCGGTCAGTGATCGCTGCAGGTGCTCGGACGGAACTGGACGTGTAGATTAGCTCGACAACAAAACTAATAAATGTTTGAAGGTAACCAATCGGAATAAAGGTTCACCAACAAAGGTGCAAATGTTCACGTATTAACATATCACATATCAAGCGGATGACGAGCACAAGATTTGCCGCCTGGAACAATGAGTGCCTACCCCACCAAGCGCCGTATTCTTAGTGCCTTTCAAGAAACACAATGAACAATGAGTGTCTGATAAATGATACTGTCTGCGGGTGCGCGGCCGGCGCTCACAGCAGCTGACGAGAATACGCCGGGATGACTGTATGAGGACGGTGGAGTGTCCGATTTAGCACCAGTAGGTAGATAGTCTGTGGGGGGATCACTCGCTTTTAGGAAGCATTTATGGGCCACTTATGGATTGACAAGCCATAAAAGCGAGACGACGCACGCTGAATGCTTCGGTAAATAGTGCTTCAGTTGCAAACAGAGAGGTAAAATGAAAAATACCAAACCATGAAAGAATGTGAAGTTCTCGGGGTCGGGAAAGCGGATCGAAACAATAACCAAATAGACAAAACTTAGAAATAAGAGAAAATGCATAGAGCCACGAAGAAAAATGCACCGATGTTTGGGATTGAGCGACAATGGTGATCCATTAGGCAGAGTTCCTGAACTAAATGACCGGTAGCAGACACCAATGTTGTCTGACCGAAGCAGTGACAGTTGACACGACCTATCGACGACCCAACTCCCTCAAACACTCACCACGAGTCGCCGTCGAACGCACGTGGCTGGCGCCGGGGCAGCCGACGTAAGGCCGCTCGCGGCCAACCGGACGGGCTCGGGCGGGCCGCGCGACGCTCCTGGCACCGCGCGCCGCTACACTTCCGTTGTACTACAAGGTCACCTTGACCGAGGCAGCCGCGTAACCCCAGTGGAAGCGCCCGCGAGTATAGCGGTCCCGTGCGTACCCCGGCGCTGCGGCGGTGAGGGGTCTACAAACAGCGACTAGGGACCGGGCGGGTCAGCTGGCGGGCTGGTCGGCGTCGGCTGCTGGCTGCCGCCGGTCAGAGTCGCGTCGCGTCGGGCCGGGGGCGACGCTGCACGTGGTACGCTGGCGCATCACTCGCGGACAGAAGGCGGCAGCTCCACCGCGCGTCCCAGACGGAGAGTTGATGATACACGTTTGAAACTGATCCGCTCCGTCCGGATCAGGATAGAGACCTCCACACGGGACGCGCGACCGCGTCACCCGTCACACACTGTCACAAAACAGTCACTTCAAACGGGTCCACAGACTTGAGAAACGACCCCACTCAACAAACGGCTGTCTTCCACCGCTCGAGCCGTTATACCCGCTCCCAGGAGATCACTGTCGGGCTGTGGTGGCCCGCGCCGCACACACCCCTACCCTCGCGCGTCTGCGGCCGCCGCGGCACTGCGGGGTCGGCTCGGTTCGGCAGTCGGCTGCCAGTCGCCGACTGTCGGCGGTGCCGGTCCGCCCGGGGAGGGGACGGGGAGCGGGGAGCGGGGAGGCCCGGCGCGTACAGTCTCCGTCAGCTGGCCGCCGACCCGCCAGCTGGGACGGTTGCGTCGCGTCGCGCGGCGCAGGAGCGCGCCCAGCGGCGCCGGCTCGGGGGGCGCGCGCCGGGTCGGGTCGGCCGCGGTAAGATGGCGCCGCCGGGTCAGTCGAACGCATCGGGTCTCGGCCACTGAGGCCGATCGATGCTCGCCACCGTCGAGCGGTCGGGTCGACGGGCCGGCCGGTGCGTGTGTCTGGCGGCGAAATGTCAGCAGAGACCGCCCTGGGTGAGCCGGGCCGGCCGCGGGTCACAGACAGGGGGGAGCGGAGACGTGCTCCCACGGACCCTTCGTCGGCTCTCCGCGTGGCTGGGCACACAGTCTACGACAAAGTCGTTATACGACACGTCGCTCAGAGCTGGAAACATCACAACCAACTATGTGAAATAGACGAGAAACGAAGGAGAAACGAGATAAGAACACAACAACAAGATGACCATAAGTTTCACGCCGACTAGTAGACGTTACACTAACCAACTACCTAGCAATTCTGGCCAGAAGACCACCGTATCGGGTGATACACATCCCGCGTCTCGCAGACGGCCGCGCAGATTCCATAGTACGCCGTCGGACCGCACCTCCGTCTCAGATTCATCAGCGCTACACGCCTGACCGTGACTCAGCTAACAATGGCCCATTTTGTGCGGCCAACCGACACGTCATCAAAGTCGATACAGCCGCCGGCCGTAGCACTTTAGCAGCGGCCTTCAATTCACGACTCTGACAAAACTACGGGGCCGGCCGCTACAGGCTACAGCCACGATCGAATGGCACGCCCAAGGGGAGAGACTGGCCTCCGAAGACCACACACCCGATAGTGTCTTGATGGATGTGTCTCAGCCCGAGGGTTTATAGCGGAACACACGCATCTACGCGCGTCACGGTCCGAGCATCTCCTTTCACTGACAGCGCCAGCTACCTTGCAAAGGCCGACGATAAGGATAATAGCCGGACGATACCATCTACGAACAGGGGCTCCGCCACGGTTTTGGGATTGGGGGGGTCCGACCTAAAACACAAAACCTCGCTGGCGGATCCAGGGTGGGTATTTTGGGCGAATTCACCCTCCCCTCTCCCCTGCAGCTCCCGAAGATGATGAAAAATTGCCGCTTTTTCTAGAGCTCAAAGAAAACTTAATAATTTTATCGGGGAAATTTTGCTTTAAACCGAAAAACCAAGGTTCAATTTGCATAAAGAATCGAAAACCGAGAAGCGGAGCCCATTGACACCGACATGGCGGCCTCTCAAATCAACGTTCTTGAGGAATGGAGGCCGCTGTTGCGCGCTCCAAGGGCGGTGTTAACCATCAGGCAGCGCATTAGGCTCTCAGTGACTGGCATGGGCTTGGGAATTCAGGGACATTCATAGGCGCTCAGATATCTATATATGTAGGCTCTTAGGCCAGTGCCTGGTCCTCCAAGGCAGTAGTTAAGGGAAAGCGCAGGGCTTTAGGAGGCGTTGAAGGGATTTGAAAGCCCTGCCCTCATACATATAGCAGTATGGAGTCCTTAGAGACTGACATTCAGTCTCTGTGATCAGAGAGTGACCTAGCTTGACATGAAAATGGATATCAAAATGCTGCAATTGAATCAAAGGTCAGGTTATGCAGGGGAGCCTGTAAGAGTTGTGACTTGTAGACGTATCTCTACCGACCTGCATTCAGAGTCCTGTGCAGATTATTGCAGATTACATCAGAACGGTGTGAAGCTGCTTAGACTAGTACGGTGCTCGAAAGACCGGTTTGGACCCCCCCCCCCCCCCAACACTATCGGGTGACCTTACATGGAAAAAGGATTCTCAGATCGATTTGAAGCTCATTTAGGGCGGGTATTGTGTCTAGGAGGTGTCCTGCAAGCGGGACCTCTCACGAAATTATAGCCGAATTCTGGCATGCTTAGCTAATCCTATAGCAATCTTAAACGCATTCATTTTAATAACAAAATGGTAGAATAGTGGCACTCCCGTACATATAGGTCGGCGAGAGTTGAGCACTTCGTGTGTCACAACATTTTAAGGGATCCCTACATTTATAGATCTTAAATTCCTTAGCTTTGCGACTGTCAACACATTCTAAATTATTCAACACATTCTGTGAATGATTTAGTCATTCTTATACGAAAACAAGCTTACAGTTATTCGGAATATTGGGGGGTACTGTACCCCCCAGGTAAATTATTGAGGGGGTCCGGACCCCCGCGTACCCCCCTGTGGCGGAGCCCCTGTCTACGAATGGTTATTCTAGTCACTATTCGGACGAGTTTAGTAAATAGCACCTGCTGTTAGACATTGTTATTACGTTATTCGAATTTCGATGAGGCAGGCGTTTCTAATCGAAATAGCCGAGCCAAAGCCATCAGGGCTTATCTGACAGTTGGCTTTGAGAGGAGTCGTCAACAACTTGTGGCAATACTGTGTAAAGAAAGAGTGGAAACTCAGTTCAACTTCAGTACGCCCAGTCCCCTCACCAAAAGTCGTCAGGGGAACAGAATAAGAAGGCATATGGACACTTTTACCGAACTTGAATGATTTTGTTTGATAGCTAGGGGAGCAAGCCCGAAGCCAGGTAACTGGTAAGAGAGACATTCCCGCTTTCTACAAGAACGTTTAGCTGTTATTATGCTCCATCCGTTTAATCATGGTTCCCAAACTCAAACACATTCCGCAGCTTCAAACTTAATCGGTTGCGATCTTGCTTCAAAGTTTCCGAGTTTGCATTGGACAAGTAAAATACCTATCGCATACTTACTCGTAAAGTAATGGCATGCAAGATTATCAAGCTGGTTACGTAAGTGCAATGTAAGCGTGATTTGCCCATTTTTACTAAAAATGAGTAAGGATTGACAATAAAATAGGAAAATAAGCCTTTACACTAGAATCTAATTATCTGATTTCTTCTCACAGTAAACACCAGGTATCTAACTGGAGATATATCAATCCGTAACGGCACCCCAACCACGTTTCACCATAATTCAATGTTCGAAAACATTGAGACCTCGGACGAGACATGGACCAACAAGGCAAAGACAAAGACCCCGTTCGTACCTATATGTAAGCGAGGCCGGAACCGACGGAGTCAGTCACGTTTAGCTTGGAGACGGAGCCACGGGAAGCTGTGCGGAACGCGTTCCTCGCGGTGACCGAAGACGGTCGAGCTGGAATGGCTGATCGGGAGTCGCAGCTCCCCAAACTGTGGATGCCGAGCAGTTCTGTATCCCAATCTGAAAGTTAGAGACAGAACAAGACGGCAGGTCAGTACATGCCTATCAGAGAGCCAGGTAACGGTGTGATGCGGTGACAGAATGATTCTTGAGGAAATATATGAATCTCATTTCTCAAACTCAGTAGACGGGCACGCATGTGTTACAAATGAAATAAGAAACATACAATATTAAAGTTATGGAATATTAGTTCTTATCAAATAGGCACACTCGTTTACAAACAAATTAATCAGAGGAATATCATGAATATCAATATCATGAGATCTTGCTCGGCCCAGACCTTCTAAATATATTTTACACAAACTGGTAACGTTTCGGCGGTTACGAACGGGTCGACATCGGATGGACTTCGAACAGACATAAGATGAACTTCGGACAGACACTGGACGGACAAACATGCTGTGTCTGGCACCATCGGCAGTGGACCCCAAGCTAACCAGACCAGCGGCGAGGACCTCCAGCTCGCTGGCCCTACCGCACCTGGCGCCGCCCCTGACCCGGTACAGTCTCTCTCGCGGCGCGCGGCGGCTGACGTCACCGGCCGGCGCCGGCGGGGCAGGTGTGAGCCGCCGCCGCCGCCGCCGCCGCCGCCGCCGCCATTGCCAATCCGCGCGGCGGTCAGTGCACCGCCCGGCCTCCCGCCCCCGCCCCCGCCCCGGATCAGCCCGCTGTGCCCGGTTACACAAGAGGCGGCGGCGGCGGCGCGCCGGCAGAATCGTGACCGGTCGGCACCTGTGCCCGGCGCCGGAGCTCACAGTGAACAGTTGAACACTGCACAGTGCACAGTGACAGCGGCGCCCGCTCAGTGGGAGCAGTGTCACTGCATAGCCCGCTAGCCCGCTCAGTGCACAGCGCACACTGGACAGTGCACAGTGACAGCGGTGCCCGCTCAGTGGCAGCAGTGCAGTGCACACTGCTCACTGCACACTGGCGGCCGTACACTGAACCGCCACTGCGATGGCTGGAATTGAAGGACACTATGGGAGTGGGTACAATAAAGGATTTGGCGTGCACACAGCACAGATGCCCTCTCAAGTCTCAGAGACAGCGAAGATTATCTGTAATTAGCAATGCATAAGCAATGCATCATTGCAGCCACTGATCACCGCTGTTACATCCCGCTAATCTATCTGTATCAAGTATTAACCCCACTGCCGAACATTGCTTCTCCAACTCTCCATTTACTGGGGTCGTTGAGCCCTCTCTGACCGGCCCTCACCACTCCCTCGCCACCCCGGCCGGCGGACAGAGAACCCACGGCGGCACGCGGCGCCCGAGTAGGAGGCGCCCGGTCAGTTTTTGTTGCACTACGTCAGCCATTCAGAGGATCCCATCCCGGGCCCCGGCGTAAAAACCGGCCCGCAGCGGCGCCGCCAGGCGGGCGACGGGTGGGGCGAGCTCGAATTGTCGGCTTTGGGCTTCAGCAATCAGCTCTATATTGTTCACAGATCCCTGAGATGCTTGTTTGATTGGAGTTGCTTAGGTGCTCCAACAGGCTGACTGAAACATGCGAAACGAACTTATCTGGTATGCTAATTGACAACGCATACGGACACGCAAATTAACTAGGTAATTTGTTAACCGCAATCTTTTCACACGTGATGTAAATGAGCCTCAAACAGGACAAATGGTGAACAGGTGTCATGTCAACGTAGCAGAGCCGTCACACGGCGTTGCCACTCACTGATCGTTCGCGTGGTACGACTGGGAACGATGTCCAAGAACTGCATTCCGTGACCGCTTCGGAAAACTCCAAGTGTTCGTAGAAGTGTGTTCGCAAAAGTTGCAGCATTGCCGGGGCACCGGGAACAAATTGTGTCCGAGAAGTAAAGCGATAGGCATGCCAGCTTTTCTGGCGAATGATATGATCGGGATAGTGTTAATATTCCGGAAATGTGGCACAAATGTAAGGTTGATGCCCGGTGTGATATTTGCATTTCCCAGCCGCACAGAGCGCACTCGGTAGCAGTTATCAGAGCTTGCATCATGTTGAAACGCTGGACATCAGATCCACACAAGGTCGCAGTGACGGCATCAAACCCGAGGCTTCTCTCAGTTTGGTCATTTTTTGTAGACGATAGAAACCCGTACAGTCCCTGGGAGTTCAAGAATCACGATATGAGGGTCGCGAACCCAGCAACACCATCGGATCAATATGATATGAATTCAGTAAAGATAACTTCCATCGACCATCATATCCGTATAATGACAAGAATAAGTCTGATTCAAAATTACTATGATTCTTACGGATGCGCTAAAACACAGACTGACACAGACTCAGGCATATGAAAAAACACATTGATGTTGATTCACAAAAATCCGGTAACACATGGTTAAACAAGGTAAAAGCATGTCTGCCGGATAATGATAAGGTCCCAAACTCTGAGCATCAAAAACTGAGACAAACTGTTCCAACGGAAGTAATTTACGATTTTTCTCCACAAGTTTGACTCTCAAGAGCTCGTTTCATGACTAGCTAGCCTGGCCATCAAGAAAAGCATGAAACCATCGCCCACCCCTGACCCAGCGTTAACCATCTGACCAACTGCCCGTCCCTAACCAATCTGGTGGCCCACAATAAATTAACCGATCTCGAGCAGTACGGGCACACAATCAATTCTGCCGACTGCACTTCAGCCTGTAGGATCGATTCGGCCCGCGGCGCGCGGCGCCCGGCGCCGGCGGTTCGGCGTCCTTGACCTCAGCAGAACTGGGTCGGTACTCGATCCCGAGCCAGGAAAACTGCAGCACTCAGACGCCCGACTAGCGCTACCACCGGCAAAACCGGCACCGTGACTATTCGTGACTGATGCAGAGTCACGAAACGTCAGACGCCACGACGAGGTAGACGTGACAAAGACGTGAGACGTGACGTGAGAGAAATTGACGTTAGACGTTGCAGGATGGGACGTAACAGACGTGAAACGTGACGACGGAGAGACGTCAGCCGTGAAACGTAAGACGTGATGCTTCTTTAAGTATGATTCGAGGGAGCAGTGGTGTCGCCGCCGGTTCGTGTCAATAGACACTAGTCAGACGGTCAGCACCCCGGAGGGAATCATAAGATCCCGAGACCTTCGTGGGGAAACTGCAGCAAGGTGAACGGGGAGACCCACTCGTTAGGAATGAATGTCACGGTAGGAAAAGCTTGGTCACAGTTGACCCTCACTTCTACACAAGCATAACACAGTGTCGAATTATAGTTGCGTGCCAAAACAGCTAAACAACTTCAGGACCGTCCAACCTGTTACCTGGAAGAGAAGAAAATACAAATCACGGCTTCTTTTATAAGTGAACTTAAAATGCGCCATCACCACCGATATATCGAGACACAAAACAGCTTGTTAGCCAGCCTTCAATCAGGGCTATCAGTTCACGCACAAACATCAAGCTGCAAGCACAAATAGCCCACAAGAAGCCATCCTGGCGCCTGGAGCGCTCAGCGTCACAACCATAAAACTCAGTTTCGAGATTCCACCGCCGCGCGGCGCTGCGTTCGACCCGATGCTCTCGGCGAAAGTGCTGGCCTTTCGCGGAGGTCGTCGGACCCTGTGCTTCGGCGCTGAACCGCGTGACACGGAGCTGGCGGTCCACAGCGACCTCCAGTTCCACGGGCGACGAGCCGGCCATTCAGCGACCCGTAGGGCTTTAAACGACCCCGCAGGGTGCTATTCGTGAGGTGACGATCCCTCTAAACTTCGGCCATGCTGGAACAGTCATTGACGAGCCACGACATTTAGGTTTTATGTTGTCGGCTGACAGCCGGCTAGTCGTCAAGATTATGTTGTTGATAAACCAGCTCAGTGTGTCATCTAGATAAGGAGTGCACGTATTTCGGAGTGAAGTAATTGCGCTACAGTGAGCGACTCTTGTGTTCAGCGCTCTGGAAAGATAACAGCGACCACATAGTCACTGCGCAACAACAGCGATGTAAATCACCGACCCGATTTGTCACCATTTACCACTTTCCTTTTCCCGCCGCCTGGGAACCTTTCAACCATAGCCGGTGTCTTCCCTGGGCGTCCAGTGTAGCCACTGGTATACCGGGCCGGGCGGGCGATGGGTAAAACCGACACCCTCTCCCTCCTGCGGAGTCGCCGACGAGTCGAGTGCTCTCTGCTCTCCTCTCCCCTCTGTCGCCGGTTTGGAGCCAGTTCGGTCCGGCTGTGCCGAGCGAGACTCTCGCTCCACGAGACTCCATTCCGACCGCCACATTCCTCCATATTTTCACCTCTGGCGTCGCCAGCTGGTCCACTGAGCGAGATGTTACCACACCCGGCGGCGGGTTATATGGCCAAACGGGCGAGATATCATCCCGCGGAGCCGCAGGAAACAATCCAGGAAAATCCAGCCACCAGAACTTGCACCTCAGAAACATGATTGCCGACACCAACTCTGATAACCGAGGGCATGGAACACTGCGGTTAGGTATTGAGAAACGCTCGGCTTTACAGGAAAGTCGAACAGGCCGAAATGACGTGTTTGAACTCTGAGAAACCACCCTCTTGCCTAGCACGTCCGCAGCAGATCAAACTACCGGGAAGAGCTACCCAAAAGGGATATTTAGATGAGCTCACACGAGCTCACTCACGACTCGCTTTTCCCTTCCACCCGGCTTCGGTCATTGACCCGACGAAACCACAACTCTTCATTTCTGGTAAGGTTTGCATGTAAACTACACGTCACGAATTCCACAGGAAATCACCCAAATGCCACAGGCAGCTCCTAAATCCAATCCCCCACGACTCCCTATCAGGATAAACCCTCCGACGCCTGTGCCTGGTTATCGAACAGCCGTTCATGTAGCTTCTCACCCTCCCGAGCAGCCTCCACTGATCGAACCGAACCGGAGCTCTCGCCGGGCCCACCGGGGCGGGTTCAGCCCGGATGCGCCCTCACTGGCGACTGTGTTGTGCCTCCCAAATACAATGGAGAACGGACCCCCAGCCGGCGGCTCCGACGACTTACCGGCGCGAGTCGTGTGTCGCGTCGGCCGGCGGGCCGCGGGGCCGTCCAACAATCGATTGAACCGCGCCGTCACCTGAGCTGGTGCATTGGGAGTCGGACGACCCCCCCCCCCAGGGGGGGGGGCAGGGTACGCCGCATGGTAACAGGAGGTTGTTGTTGTTTAGGTCAAGAGTTACACCGTCCCGGGATCAGAGTGCAGCTGTGTCTCAGCTGGTGGTTGACGGTCATTGGTGAAGTTGGAAGACGGGCATCCCACATTACATGAGTGCCGTGAGTGATGGCGGACAAAAAGCAAGGCCGATCCCGTCACGATATTATTGGAAACCAACAACTAGTTTGTCCTGTGCAAATTATCGCAACATCCGCGTATCTAAAAAAAAAAAACAGGCTTACGGCTTACGATTGCCCCCGGATTAACATGAAATTATTTCAAGGAAAATGTCATATTCATGCATTGCATGCCAAATTACATAATCGAATTACGTAAGAGGCTTGGTGAACAATGTGTCATCGACGCTGAATTTAAAGCTCCGCCGCATTTCAATCCAGATTAAAGAGGGAACCCTTTATGGCGCATAACGACAATGAACGTAATTAAAAGGATTGGATATCCCAGAATATATTAACGTACAAAGCTCCTCCCTAACTCTACCACAAGCGACCAATGTCCGACCGCACATACATAGACGGTAGACCCCAGCGTTTCACTACCTGGCACGCCCCTTCACTCCTTCAGACCCTCAACACCTGAGGACTCCGGGATGATCGTCCCCTCCCCCGCTCGTCTGACACCTAGTCTCATCTGGTGTCGCGGTCAACCCACCGTGTCACCTCAGCCCTACCAGCGCCACCGCGTTCATCGTCGCGGGCCGCCGGCTCGTCGAGAGCGGTTACTGGGCCGCTGACCGGCGAAGGCCACTGGAGTTGCGTCACGGGAGTACCAGCCGTGGGTCGTGGCGTGGCGGCACGGCTGGGAGCCGTGGGGTGACGGTCGGTCGGTCGGCCCAGGTGGTGTCAGCATGGACCCCCCACTGCACCGCATCGTGCCCCACGGCGGTACACGGGGGCACTGGGTGCTTCATATTAGTGAACAGTGCCTCAATAATAGGGTATCTCAACGGCACACGGCACCTCACCGTGGCAAACGGTACACACGACCCTGAACTCTGAAGTGGCATACAGTACCTCAAAGCGGCGCGGCACGCGTATGGTCTCACGTTCAGCACGGCGCACAGGTTACTGGGGTGCTCTTCATCCCCATCGCGGGTTACCCCAGGCCCAGAGTGTCCCGCCCGAAAAAGCCCCTCATCGGTCCATTTCCCACGCACGTGACATTAGACCACCCATTCCTGGCCGTTCGCCGTGGTCATCAATTGGTCCACAAATAGGTCACTGTGACCCGTGGCCTATCATCGACTGCATGCATTGTTTATTCCCTGCACACTGCACCGACATAAGCACTGACGCCGATGCCAACTGAAATGATCCTCGTGATGACATAAATGGAGTCACATGAAACTAATCAAAACCTTGTAACTTTGCGGTGATACTCCACAGTTCCCCCAAATAGCGAACATTTGTCCGTTCAGCGGTATCAATATGATAGATGACAACACACCCTCACGCCAATGACGGCACATCGGCTCTGCCAGAGGCTTCATGAAGGCATTTTCACTGATTGTTCAAGGGACTTCCCCCGACAAACAGAGTGATGATCGCAATTGTCTTCACAAGCGCTGTCGACCCATGAGGATCAGCGAGCTCCGTGTCTGTTGTGTGCTGGGCCCTGTTAGCAGTAACACTGACGATGGCCCGAAATTTATGTACTCTTCCCGACTGGGTGGATCGAACTGCGCATGCATCACAAGATTTCATTACCTTAACTTGTCACCTTTCTGTGGGGTTTTGACGATCGCTTACCAATCGTGGGCAAAGACTAGACTGAAATATTGGTAGTCCGACTGGGACCTCGTGACATTCACGTCGGGTACATTTTCGAGACAGATCAGGTTACTGACCTTTGGCATAAAACGTCTGAACTTCTCACAGCAACGCCCCGCAAGTTTCATTATTTCACATTGCCGTCAGTGTTCTCAGAAATCTCCAGGGAAGATCTAACCTCCCCAGTGCCTATACAGAAATAACTATCTATAAATTTCCTCCTGTGGCTCCGAGGCCCAGTCGAATAAGGGCCTCCTAAAAACTGAGAGGATAGATATAAAGGTACCTCATTTCCCTAAATATCTTCAAATAAAACTTCAACACAGCATATGGCGGTCCATAAAAGGTTCCACGTAGCATTGGAGCGTTGACCATACCCTATAAACCAATAAACATGTCAACAAACTCGCATCAGCCATGTGATAACTTTCGCTGCGGATTACACGACTCATGAGCATCATCTCGCAAATCCCACAAATATGTGCCAGAGTTTCTGCGGCTACTGAATCCACAGGCTGCACGGAATAATATGCCAGCAATATGTTGCGTGCAAGATGGACATAATCGACATAACCACCATGTAAGCAGCCATGCTCGTTTTTGGAACACATACACTGAGGGACGGTGAGGCTGTTTGCACTGAATGCAGCTCAGCCATGTCGACATTCCAGAGCATTCCCCAGGCCAACCGACCAACCGACGCTGCTGGAGTCGACACCAGTTGCAATCCCGTGAAAACTTGGAATCTAGTCGAATCACTATATACACTTCCTCATGGATGCATCTAACCGAATCGGAATCACCGCATTAGTTCAATGAGCATCATTGACCGATATGCATCAGCACACATTAGTTCAATATCCATCATTTATCAACAAACAACAAGCAGGCTTCCCCGCCAGCACATCATCGACGCCCCCCGACAAGCACAATCAGCTGCGGTAGTCACCCACCGGCCCAGTCAGCTGGTGTATGTTATCTGACGGCACCAGAGGCTGCGTCAGCTCCGCCCAGAGCTGGGCCAGCTCACCTACCTGCCAGCGCCGGTCGGGCGGTCGGGCGGTCGGGCGGCCGGTCGGGCGGTCGGCCGGTCGGTCGGTCGGCGGTGGCGCAGTCACTATCGCTCTCAAACACCTTTCACCAGCGCCGTGTGCCGGCCGGCCGGGGTCACTGACCGCTCCGTGCGGCCGCGCCGGACGGCTGCACGGTGCTTCGTTGGTGGAGAGTGTACCGGTACGACGGTACGACGGTGGTACGGCGATGGAGAGCTGGTACGGCACACGGAGTACGGCACTGGTCAATGGCGCGACAGACGAACAGCGACACTATACGACACCGCGACACGACACACGACACGGTAAATATTGTCACTGAACGGCGGGGCGCAGTCCGAGACTCCAATCCCGGGGCGTCAGTCGCACCCACTGCGCTCAACACACCACTGTATGTACCGACAGGCACGGCAGGCGGGCGGACCGCCGCACTGAGGGGCCAGCACAGGCCCACACAGGCCGACTGGCACTGGGCGCTGCCGGCGGGGGCGGGGGCGGGGGCGGGGAGCACCACACCGCTCGGCGCTCGCAGGCGCACTGCGCCGCTCGCGGGCCGCCGGCCGCCGACTGACCTAGATCGGCCGTCCGAGCGGCGCGCGGGCGAGAGCGGCGGGGGTCAGCGACCTCGCCCGCCTGCAGCCCCCCGCCCGGCCCCCGCCCACAGCCCCCCCCCTTCCCCCCGGCACCGCCGCCCCAGGCGGGCGCCGTCACGGCTCGGCCACAGAAGATTAGTGTTGTAATCGGAACTCCTCATGAGTTCATTATGGTGACACGCGATGGGCTAAATTTGGAGGGAGATGGCGATTTGCCGGGGAGACGGCGGAGGCGGAGCGCATCGGATGCGCATCTATGTTTTGTCATGGTTGATTAGATAATGGCACAGCAATAGACCTTTGGAGCCCTGTCATTACTCATTGCCCATTGGCCAGTTTACGACATTTCGCGGACTGAAATAACTGGAGGATTGTGATCGGCGGCATTCGTAAAAGTGCACTGCGGATACGTTCAATCCTCACAAGGAATATGCATCAACAACAAACACGGAAAGCTCACTGAGGTATACATTTTCCATTTGACGGTGTTAAGTGAATGGTTGGTGACAAGCTTGAAAATATTTTACGTCGTTGCTTACCGAATAAGCAGGGAAATTCGATCGTTTTCGTCCATCCCGCAGAATTTCGTTACTGAAATATGCAATTGGAGCGGTTCAAGTTTTCAACCGCAATGATTTCAGAAGTCTCATGGCTTCGCCGGTGTTTTAACAAAAGTTTTTTATCTAGCACCTCGGTTGACGGAAGCTGTGACCAGCCAAGGGAAAGAGAAGATACGGTTGGCAGTTTACCAGATATTCCGTTTTACAATTACTTTATCGTCGGCTTTTCATTACTACAAGTCCCATTGAGCCAGACCATATAGCCTTGCCCTAGCCTCAACGCCTGAATTGGCATCCAACATTAAAGGGACACTCCCACCTTAACATTAGTTTTGAGTTGAGATAGCCAAGTTGGTGGCCATGGCCTGCAAATACCGGTTTGGGCACTCACAACATCGACAAATGCTTTAATTCGGAGATATGGAATTTCAAACTTGCAGTTTTCGGATTCTAAGGGGCTAGTGCATTGGTATGCCCCCTTAGAATTTGTGACGTCAGCGGAGATCTAACGATTTTTAAATCTTTTACTAAAACGTTTGGTAGCACGCGGTGGTATATGGCATGCTGCTTTGCGCGCAACAAATGCCGCACTTTCAAATAAAGTCGCTAGGAACAGCGGATATCCCAAAAAGTAAACAAAAGTAAAAGTCTAATATCTTGAAAACCGGTGAATATTTTTCGATGAAATTTGGTAGATATTCGTTTTCGCTCTTTCTGAACCGAGCGACATCACTTTCGTGCCAATTCATTAACTTTTTTGAAGGTGGGAGGGTCCCTTTAAAACAATTTACAGCAGGCATAATGTGCGCCCGGCTGCCATTAAAAACAACTTTACAGACAACAGCTCTTCTCGTTATCCAGTAAGGACCGTCTGCGCAACTGAATGACTGCACAATGCACACACTTTATCTCTGCCCGGCGAGCCGAATCGCTGGTCCGCTGAGTGAATTGGCTTCCTGTCTCAACGGTATAAGCTCAGTACCTATTCCTCCCCTCCCCTCCCCCCCCCCCCACATTGCATCCAAGGCCCTAAATACATGCATCTATAAATCTCATAACCCCGAAATGGTTTCAATAGACCGAAACGGCATAACCTGAACCTAACAAAACAAAAACAAGTTAACATTTCGAGGAAACGGAGGGAAAACGGAAAAATAGCATGCATGGAGCTGACGAGCTGACGAGCTGACCTTATGGCTGACGACACGCTCGGGAAAGTCGGTGTGGCCAAGTATGGTGTGGCCACCGGGTCGGGTGTCCGTTTCATTCCGTCTGTCTCCGCCACGTAGCCGATCTCCTGTGGCAGTAGGTATTTGGAGGATCACAAACGTGGCGGGGAACTGGAGAGGGAAGCAGAGTAGGGTGGGGGCTGGGGAGTGCCGTTCGGTCACAAGAGTCCCGGGGATTTCGGTGACAAGACAAGAGTCCATTGGGGACTGTCATTAGGTGCTGGCCGAAACGTCCGTTTGACTGACGTCTGATGCATCCCGAATCCGATACGTCGGAGCCTGCGAAAGATAAAACGTGCACGATAGTCGATAATTGACTTGTGAGTACGTTTGGGTTTGAGGTTTCAGTCATGGTTTCGTGCCTTGGTTCGCAAAGCTTCCGTTTAGTGATTGAAATAACTGATAGCTGATCGTTTGCAAAGCTGAAACAAGGCATACCTATAAAAACACTGGCTGAAACTGAAACGGTAAATGCGAGAAACATTACAGCATCGACAGATTTGATTCCAGAATGCGGATTGGAATACTGATGCACGCAAGCACAAGGGAGATACAATTTATTAAATATTTTCGTTAAAAATCGCTGATAATGACACAGAGTTTCCCAAATCATAGACACTAGACGGATGAAAAGCCACATAATTCGCATGCGGATAAAAAACATACGGATTCGGTGAGAACGCACGTTACACATGGCGCGAATGTTTCGAAGTTTTTTCCTACATCGCTGAAATGGAGATCCTAGAAAAGTGTTAATTTTCTTTTAATTAACCCTAAGGTGTCTTGATTTAGTTCAAAGGAAATAAATCTTAACCTTTTTCCCGCTAGACATAAATGAAAACAATAAAGTAGGGAAAGGTATAAGCAATTATCTTCCAAATCAAACTCAAATTGAGCGGGTAGGAGCAAAACTTATCTCCATATATGGAAGGTGTTTGGTAAGCCATAAGTGGCGCAGCTGATTCAAATATGTCATGCTTTATAATGTTCAGATAACACAGTTTGGCTTTTAATGAACACTAAATGGCGAGTTTTTGTGCTTGTGACCAATAGAATGGTCCAATCGCTACTTCTAGCTGCCTAAGCATAGCAACAAGAACACGTTTTCCTTCCAAGGTGGTCCGCAATGGCGTTTTTCAGTGTGGTTTATTGTTTGGTTAACGTGGTTCAAGTGGAAAAATATTAATTTATATCTCAACTCAAAACTAATGTTAAGGTGGGAGGGTCCCTTTAAAGTGGTAGGTAAACTCTATTTTTCAATTAAGTTCATTAACCTTATTTTTATCAATATCCACTGTGTTAAATCCAGGGTTAGCTGTAGGCTGATCCTGCATCAGCATTCAGTTTCTACTTTCTAGTCTTCATTGCATTTTAATCAGAATCACCACTTGTTACCTTGACCTGAGGGACTGAGCCCCTGCCTTTTAAATATGATTTAAAGGGTGGCCACTATCATTTACATAATTGCTCTTCTTAAATGCTCCCCCTCCTGTAACTAAGTATTGCCGTCTCGCGCAACCAAACTTAAAATATTTGAAACTGAAACTCCAGTTTGAGATGAATCAGTGAAAAGTAGTCATCTCTAATTATGTGAATAGGGATCTGTCAGTGTTGGTGTCCTGTGATGATTATTTGCATTTTGTGAAGTTCCCTGCTTTGTTTTCATCTGTAAAAAATATTTCTTTTTGCAGTGTTATTGGAGGTTTGTGCCCAATTTATCTTGGTTAAATACAGCACCCAGCATTATGATTGAGGAGGCTTTGAGACTTCAAGTGGAGGAGGAGTGTTTGAAGATTGGCTGCTGTGTCCGATGTGCAAGAAGGTTTACTGGTGATAGAGTGCTAGACAACTATGTGGTAAGTCAGTCTTCATCTTTTTGACTGTCATGCATGTGCCTATGGTCTTTTTCACCCTAACTCAAGCTAAGTTCTTACAGCTTTGTCTGTCATGCTGTCAGCACTTCACTTGAACTTTGGAGCAGGACAAATGACAGGTTGAGGCCTGAGGGGTTCCTCAAACAAGCAGTCTCTTATTTTAGCTAAAGGTGGTTCATAGAGGTGAATCAAATATTTGTGGCCCAGGTTAGAGCTGCTCAATGCTTATGACATCCAGCTAGTATTTATTCATCTCATTTCGAATCAATATCTTTTCAGAAGCATACTGTTGAGTCTGATGCTACACAAGCTGATGATGAGCCTCCAGCTAAAAAGGCCAAAGGAGAGCTGTGTATTTTTTGCTTTGGTGTTCTGGCACCAGGTGACATTGAAGATATTGCCATGAAGGTGAGCATGTTGCATCAAATATATAGGAATAGCTGGTAGCATCTGAGACAGTTCTACTTCATTCATTCATTCATTCATTCATTCATTCATTCATTCGACCAATCATTCATGTTTTCATTCATTCATAATTGTATTGATGTGTAATGTGTATGCCCCATTCACTTTTAAAGCTTTGCTACTTAAGCTGACAACTGCCGAATTAAATGCTTATTTTTCCGTGAGTTTGCCAGTTCGAATTAGTGGACGGTAGTATTACATGTTCAATGCACCATTGTTGTCTTGGTATCTTCTGAATCAGGCCCCTAATATGCAGTTGAACTGTTGCCGGTTTTCAGGCGGTGGCCAGTCTAACCGAAGCCGATTACGACGACCCCGTGTTCACGACGACGCTGTCGATGCCGGTGTGTAACCTGGTCCGCGACAAGAGCATCTACGTGCACCTCGGCCGCACTGTGGCCGGCTACACTGACCAGGTGAGGGGAGGGGGCGGAACGGACTTACGGGAGATCGGACAGATCGGACAGAGATCGGAGATCGGACAGAGTACGGGTATCGTCTCTTATGGTGCAGGCGACAGATCCGCATGGTGATCGGCGGCAGCGTGAATTTTAGCGTTTTCTTGCTGCCTATAGTTCACTGGCTGTTTTGTAAGTAGTTTGTAGTTTGCACCGATTCCACGTGTTCGTAAGCTGGGCTATTTTCAGCAGTTCTGCGAACAAGTAGACGCTAATCTGATTTTTTTCACTATTTTGCGCCCAACGCATCACCGCTGGCGCTGACCATTTGCCGCACCTGCTGCAGGTGAAGTTCCTCCACCTGCTGCCGCTGAAGGACATCTGGAAGCACCTCATCAACGGCTCCATCGCCAAGGGTAGCGGCAAGTCTGCCGACAACGGCTACAACGCCGAACTGATGGTGAATGTCGAGATGGCTTATCGTGGCGACCGGCGCGAGATGGAGGTCATGTGAGTTCGGTGGTAGATGTCGTCGTGTGTTCGGCATAGGTGGCTTTGGAAGCGTTAGTATCTGTGCTTTGAGGTCTCAAGCTTTAGGGCTGAATGCTGGGATAAGCTGTCAGTTTGATGAGGTATAAGCGATTCATTTTGAGGGTCTTTAGTTTCAGGTGCAATGACTTTGAATACAAGTTATAATATTTGTGAAAGAAAACAATGTCATGGCTTAACAAAGCATGTTTAATTCTTTATATATTTGCTGCCTATTCAAATGTGATTTACGTTTTTTCTTCCTCATGCCGCTGCTCGCCTCATCTATCTCACTGCTCTATGAATTCACCCATGTTCCCACCCCCCACACGTGACCTGACCCATTCCCCCTGGTGCCCACCCCCACCCGCAGTTCGAAGCTGCGCCCGGAGCTGCGCGGCCCGGTGACCCGCACCACGGCGGACAGCACCCTCGAGTCGTCCACAGAGGCGGCGCTGGTGCGGTGTCTTCGCCTGCCGCCCGGCCCGCCGGTGGCGCCGCCCACCTACCAGCTCTCCTGTCTGCGCAACGCCATCTTTGTGGCAGGTACGGTGGCAGAATGGGCTGTACCGGAGAGGGCGGTGCTGGGCCGGCCGTTGCGAGGGATGGAGAGGCCCTCGCTGGACCTGACGTTTTGTACACTACATACGTCCTGGTTGAGAGAGGGGTTGGTACGATTCCCTTCCTTTCCGCTCCTCCTCATAATTAAGAATCACACGACACAGTGACGGACACCAAATATCTGAGATATCTGAGGTCAGAGGTAGGCGGGTATGCGTGTCGACCGGCGACTAAAATAGCAACTCAGTGCTCCAATTGGCGCCGCCGCTGGCTTTTGGACTGTCCAATCCAGTTTGCAGCATGTTTGTGTTTCTTTCCCGTCTTTGGGCTGTGGCTGCATTGTGTCATGCATGTTGTGTATTTCATTGCGTGTGTCATTTGTATACGAACACGATAAAGTTCTTCGAGCGAGCTCGCGAACGCCACCTGTGATTTCTCGTTACGGGTCGTAGAAGCTGAATTGCATAGAGGGCAGAGGTAGCGTTTGGTTATGTGCTTCCACCAACAACAGAGCGGAGAGGACATGGATTCGCATCGTAATGTATATTATTATAACGTTTTTGCTTCGTTTGTAACATTTTGGGCGTGTTTTAGTACAAACAGTATTAGCTGAAAAAAAGATAAGGACCTACAGGTGAGATTATTATTTTTAATCCTTGTCGCATTCATACGTGGTGTATGAAGTACGCGACAATTCGAACATCATTTACCTTTATGCATGCTGCTAAGACTCTTCTCAAAGCCCGCTATTTCAGCGAGTCCAGCGCAGATCACCTCCTTAGCTGTGTGTGAATCTCGGGAGGGCACTGTTCCTAACAAACAGGAAACTTACGGCAATGGTGGCGCAATCGTGCATTCAACCGACAGCCAAGCGTCTGTGCCTGAGGATTTCATATGAGGAAGAGTGCTTTTATCTCAATGGGTGGGCCTTTTAGGGCTTTGCATCGCGCATATGCTGCATGAATTGGTATTTCGTTCGTTATGTGGTGGTTTAAACCCAGGATTATTTTTAAAATGCTTGCAAAAACCTTTCAAGCAGCAGGACACCCCATTTCGAGCGAGGTCATTGGCAGTTCTGATGACGTCACATGTCTTAGTTCACTAACCGTACCTCGTGTTTCCATTTTACATGCATACCAACCTTACCGATCGACATCTTTCGGCGCCGGCGGATAGATTCCTCATCACGGCTCGGGCTGTTTGGCAGAGCCGTCCCGAAACGTGGAACGCCGAGAGGACTTTGTTCGCTTCACAAAAGGCCGCGATCAACCTCTACCGCCCATCCTCAATCGTTATAATTAGACTTCCCTTCGGAAATTGTTATCGTCTATCATCCACAATCAGCTTTACATCGTCCACAGTTCGTTCACTCCGTCCAGCGTGTGTCCATCGTCCTCCATTTACGGTCCATCATCCAATGTCCACTGTCCACCTCCCCCGTCCCCTGACTGCTACCCACTTTACTTGTCGTCATCCTTCCCTACCCACCACCTACTGTCCACCATCTATTGTCCACCATCCACCCTCCCGCCGCCCGCCGTAGGCTGCCAGCCCCGGTCGTGTCTACCGGCAGAGATTAGAAGCCCAAGGTTGTGAGCTCATCATGACAACCCCCTCCCACTATCGTCGGCCTAAGCCGGTGCCAATACATTCCTTCCAACCAGCCCGGTGTAGTTAATGTTTTATTAAGGCGGCTTTTACTGGCTACGCCGGATTTATCGGTGGTTTTATAAATGTAAGTAGGTAGATGCTGTAAGCTGGTGGGCCTTGTAGTAGAGAAGGGCTGCTGCTTCCTGTACGGAGTTTCAAGTTTAATATTCCCATTTAAGAGATTCGTCAGTCTTTTCTTGAGTAGATCCCACCCACTCAACAAAGAGAACACGGGATATCACGTCAACTTTTCCATGTAAAATGGTCAACGCTAACAGCTCATAGGCTTATAGCAAGCTTACATAAGCTCCTCGAACTATCTCGTACCAGACTCCACCTCAAACCTAACTATTTCCCTGGACGGGGGTATTAAATCTCACGAAGTTAAGTCATGTTACCATCCTTGACGCGGACAGTGCTTCATGGCGGAGGGGCGCGTCAGTGTTCATTCTCCCCCAGTCCTCCAATATTTGTATCATCCTCCAGTCCACCAGTCCTCCAGTCCTCCATTCGATCCGCATGCCGCCATCGTGACCGGCCCGGAAAATTCACGGACACGGTAGATCGCCATCCGACGAGCGTTTATGGCTGAGGTCTCCATTAGATACCGATAGCTGCTGATGCCACAGCTCATTGTCGGTAGCTGGTGAAAATGGCTGTCGGAGGATCAGCACCACTAGGAACTGCATTACGGACGTATGCATGGCACTGTAAGCCGCACGTGGCTTTACATTGGCATGAAGGAGAGGTCGGCGCTACTGCAATAGCTTTATTGATATATCTTGGCTCGATTCGGGTCCTTATTGGATATCATACGAAACTGTGTTAGTGTAAAATGAGGCTTTACAAATTGAACAAATTGTAAAGTGCCAATGCTGATGATAATAGCAGGCGATCAGTGGTTTGCTCTTTCCTCCTTTTTCTCTTGTTCCGCATATTCTTAGTCCATCGTATCTAATAATACTGACTCGGTCGTCGAACCCTGGACATGGCTCAACTGCGCAAAGCTCTTGTCTCACCCTTGAAACTGCCGTATGTTTCACTGTCATGAAATTCGCCGCGCAAATGCTCTTGGAACGTCCCGTGAGGAAGTGTTTGTTTAGCTTAAGCGAGCATCTAAAATGTGCTTTTAGCACTGCACGTGCAAAAATGTTCCCCTACTCCTGAGGTCGAAACTAATGGGTGAAGTATATCAAGCTTGTTTATTTATGTGCATAGTTTTGCTCATTTTGCTTTTCCTCTTGTTTGTTTGTTTTTGTTTTTGTTTTGTTGGGTTAGGCCCTTTCGGTCTGACAAGACCATTGCAGAGCCGGAAGGATGACAGGAATTAAGGGGAGACATTGGTCTGGGCAGGCACCCTAGTGAGTCGCCGGGGCTGAGCCCGTCCAGAGGACAGGCCACCCAGCCCCAAGGCACTCACTGCACCCGGCTACGGGGTGCGCTCCCTCAGGAGCAGCGGTGCCGCTCCAAGGGAGCAGCCCGCATGAGATAAAGTTACCTGTCCAGCCCGGAGGGGGTTGCGGCGTAGAGGACAAGGATTTCAGTATCCTGAGGATAGAAGCACGGAACGGATGCTTTTCCTCTTGTGTCCTGCCGTGTATGGTAAAGCATATTTTAGAAGATTAAGCTCCGAGTTCGACATAATCATGAACATTTTTGGTACTAAAGTTCATACTTCTCAGTATCTGATAAATAATTCCTCGCGTGCGTGATTTTTTTTTTTTGCATAATCCAAACCATGAACCATAAAGATCCAAGAGCATGGATGCTGCAGATTTAGGATCTCTGATCACTTCGAAACTACGTACAATCCGGCTCCATCTGCATAAAATAGTATGCTAATTGAAGCCTGCTCTGATAATGATCAACCAGACGCTCTCCTGTGAATCCACCCGTAATGAGAGATGGGACCTAATTTTTAATCACTCTCGTTGGTGTTGAGTTCACAATCTTTCCTGCGTTGATGTCTCCTGCACCGCAGAGTATCTACAGTCTACAATATGTGATCTTCGTGACACCGGGCGTTCTTTGTTACGCGCCACTGAGAAAGACAATTTTCGCTGTCACTTAGGGCGATTACCACGCTGCATCATCGTGCTTTCGTCATGTTTTGGCACATTTTTACTCATTTCACCCATATATTTTCTCACACATTTCTTAGTTGAAAGCCTTTATTGGTTCTTCACATTCCGACTTGGATTTGAAAGGTGGTATAGTCGCTACGTGTTGCATGGAACTAATTGAAATCTGGTGCTACCCCTACTCGAGTACGATTCGACAGTGAATTTATGTTGGGAATGGAATCTGAGTACTGAGATTTACACGCAGTTCATGCATTGCGACTCCGTATTGTCATTTGAGATGCGATTTTATATGGTCAGACAGGCTTTGCGGTGGTTGAATACGTGCGATATGTCATCGAAGAGTATTTAAGTGTCTTTTTATAAAAGCGAAGGTCACTTGCCGTTGAATTATCCGTTCCAAAAGACATTCAAATTCGTCCTAGGAGATTATCCCGACGTTTAGCTGGACTTTTGCGGAGCTTTAGAAACCGCAGACCCAGCTTATCATCTTAGCTGGAAACCTGTATAATCATTTGTTAGCGTTGTGAGGTAGGCTTGGAGTGGGCGTGAATTTTTTAGAAACCGCGCTCAAGTCTTTACTTGGCCATAAATGGTTCCTTAAATGTATTGTATCTTGCTGACGGTGCAGCCACAAGCGGATTTGCTATGGTCATGTTTGTACAGCACGGAATATATGATCTATTCGGTGATTTATGATCGTCTTTAAATTAAAATGTCGTTTCTGACGTCACAGACTTTGACACCCAGTGAAGACGCGTAGGCGGCTCCATCTCGAATATAGGAGTAATGGAAATGAATGTTATTTAGCTACCTCGAACTCTACTGTTGAGTTGTTGGAAGTTGGGTTCGTTCTCAGCTTGTTTTCATGTTTTCTGTGACCGAATAAATGCCGCTCGGATATTTTCTTAAAGCGATCTGGGACCAGTATTAACGAAAGGGACTGCTGTGAATATGGTGCTACCTTTTACGATAATACAGAAGTATTCGTCCACCCCTAACCGTTCTGTGTCTCTCCCCTCGTCTGCCGTCAGGCCGGTACAACAAGTACAGCCGCACCATGAGCCAGACGCCCTGGACGGTGGACGGGGCGCGGCGCACCGAGTCATCGCTGCAGGAGCGCATCACCGACCGACTCGTCCAGCTCACCAGGTCAGCAGGTGAGTACAGGAGAGTACAGACTTGATGTGAAAATGATCAATAACATGCCAAAAATTGTATTGGTTCTTTAGTTTACCAAAGAGAAACAAAAGAGACTTTTGTTTCTCTTTGGTAAACTAAAGAACCAATACAATTTTTGGCATGTTATTGATCATTTTCACATCAATTTTGACTATAATGTCTTCACTCATGCCAATCATCCAAACGATTAAAACCTTTCCCAGGAGTACAGACTTGTGCTTAGAAGTTGGAACCCGTACTTGGCTGGACTGGCCGTACTCGAACAGGACCTGGCAGGACTGGGGTAGGTCCCGTGAAGACACGTGGCGCACAGACCCTGAAGGGACCCAGACTAGATCTTACAGGACCCCGCATAGACACAAGTTAGACTAGCCCGCGCCCTGCTGGGGGGGGGGGGTGTTTGAACACCCCCCTTGTGGTTTTTCGCGAATATCTCAAAAACGGCGGCGCCGCCGTTTTTGGTACACCTTATCGTACATCAATTCTACACATGTTGTGAAAATTTCAGACCAATGTCATTCAAGGTCAGGTCACCAGGTCACTTGAAGTGACCTCACCTCATAAAAAGTTTCAATGTCTATCATAGCTATACCGAGTGACCGATCGCTTTGAAACTTTCAGCGATTGTTAAGAGCAATAGCATGTACAAAATGTTTATCTCAGAATTTTGATATCGATGACCTAAGGTCAGGTCAATTTTGCGACCTCCCCATCATAAGTCAATGGGAGGAAATTGAAATGCGCCTCTTTTGGACAAAAGACATTATAAACACTCCCAAACACCGAATTACAAGTGGTTTAGACACACTGAACATGAAAATGGTGTCCGTGACCCTTGTTTATGCCCTGAGGTCATCTTAGGTCACGAATGGTATCTAACAGTTTTTCGCAAATAACTTTTGATAGAGGCATGCTAGAGCGATGAAAACGCCTTAGAGGTGTTCAGCTCGACGATACGGATCGACTGATATGCAACATGACCCTCTCCGGTCAGGTCATGACCTTGACCTGAGGTCAAATTTTCAAGTTGACCTTTCAAGGTCAACTTATAGTTCATTCGATGCGTCTTGACGAGAGGAACACAATGCCGGTAAAAGTAAGCTCGTACAAGGCTTGGGTCAAAAGGTATTGCAGAAAAACTGTTTCCGAAAAAATCGGCTATTTTTGCAATTTTTGCCCCCTGCAGGCAAAACCGTTGACGTTAGGTCAAATCTGAGAGGATTACTCAGAAAGGGCTTTAATAGGGCTATCGAATGCGCTTTTCCGCGGCGCTGTAGCTCTATTGATTCTCGAGTTATGCGTTGGCTTCTTGGAAATTTTCGACATTCGACCTGGAAATCGGCGAAATTTTGCCTTCAATGACCTCTGGTGACCTGACCTTTGACCTGACCAAAAAATTGACCGAAGTGATTTCGTCATTATTTTTGACGCTCTTTCGAACGCCGCCTTCCGCGTATCGCTACGTGGCCCAGGAGCCGAGTTACAAGGGGGGGGTGTTCAAACACCCCCCCCCCCCCCTCCCCCCAGCAGGGCGTGGAAATCCAGAACCCCCAGCCGGGCGCGGGCTAGACAGGAGTAGGACCCATACAACACCCGACAGGGCTCGGATAAGACAGGACTCACTCGGATTCGAAGCTGACATGACCGGATTTTAGGTTGTCACGGTCCCTACCACCCGGCTCTCTCGGACTTCCTTGACTAAAACTTTCGGCCGATCACGATGTCGTCCTCAAGCTGTTAGCCGCGTCACAAGCTGCTCGCGAGCCGCCGATCCGATCCATATTCATGGTACCGGGTGGCGACGGCGACCTTCGATGGTCACCAGCCTGTCGACGGCCGGAGAGGCCGGATTGGACATCTCTCGATCGCAGGCATTGTGCTCCTCCCGCCTCCTGCCTGCTGTCCGTCCGCCCGCTTGTTCACCATCCACTGTCCATCTCGCCGTAGTCACTACCCTTCTCAGGTTCCTAGTTAAGTCCGGGTACCCTTAAACCAAAACATCATCATCTTCCGTTCCTATTCCGTGGTTTCAACTGACATGAGGAGAGAGATGTCCCGTCGGCTTTACATCCACGGCAAGTGACGGATTTGACTGCAAACGACAGGACAGTATGATGGATTTCGTCGCGTCATTCAGCAGTCGTATCATGGGGGATCAGCGCCGAGGAGCTATTTTTGTACGGCAGAAAATCGGATTATGATTCGAGATTCTCCGTACGGAAGAATGGTATTTGGTGGAGGAGTGATATTTTTACAATTGTGACATTTAAGAACGACTTTTTGTTCGTCAGTTTACTCAGTTATACTGGCCGTCCAAGCTTTGATGGACACATATAATCCAAACGCAGCATTACCGTTCAGTTTATGCACGCCAGCACTGCAATCCTACAATGTTTTGTAACAAAGTCGTTCACCGCCTTGAACCGAAGGGCGTTGTTTTGATTTTAGCTGTTTGTTGCCAGATTCAGGTGGGGATTCGGGCTTACGCCCGTCTTGAATATCGATAGGGCTCATTATTTGAAGTGGGTAGAGGTTATCTCATTTTCTCCAGTCCACCCTGGGTGTTTTGGTCGTAATTACCTGCATTTAGTTATTTTCAAAGCTAATTTTAATTTGTAAGTCGTCTCAGATGCAGTTCTGACGGAACATCGATACAGGCCCAAGGTTTCCTCGTTGTGAGGCCTTGTCGGAGATTGTTGCTCTGAATGGCTGCCTGATTTGCATGACAAAGGCTATTATCTGAGACTCCTTTCGCGTTATTTTGCCACTGTTGACAAAATGTATGTCAGTACTCAGTAGTTTTAGGCCTCATATCGTAGAAAGAACACCTCCGCATACTCCTTGTTCTGAAAGCAAGGCTGAATTGCTGGATTATATAGAACCTGTTATTAGTGATTTAAGTGTATGTATTTTAAAGTCGTTGGTTGCCTTATTGCTTATGCCTATAATCAAAGGTGTCATTCCTGAGGGGCTTTGTTATGACCGTGACCGGCTTTGCCGTTTTATGTCCGATATAAACCGTAGTGTGAAAGACATTTGTCATTTTGCACGAAAACCTCGAGGAAGGCTCAATGTTTTGTATTGTATTTCTGTTGAGGAGCACTCCACAGCAGCAGTGTTTGTGTTTTGTTTGTTATTTGATTGGCTGTTACACAGATAACAGTAGTACTGGATTGGAAACAGAATATTGGCAGTTGCAGTAAGAGGCCGAATGTTTTTATGCGACGGCGCCAAAATGGGATTCTCGCGTGCTGCTGGGTGGATAATTTGCAGGGTGATAATTTGTGTGTTGTTTATTGCAAGAAATCGTCGAATATTGATATTACTGTTCATTGCTCTGGTAAAGATTAACAAAAAGACGTATATTGAGGCACAGAGCAGCATATTTTAATAAATCCAACCGGTTTCAAAGACCTCTCGTCTTCGTCATCAGGGATTGAAATATACAGAAAGGAGAAAGGTTACATATTTAAGCGCTGAAGAGAATAGCTATAATCATGCTTTTTCTGTTAGAAAACGCGTGGAGAGCGTGCTTAAAAATAAAGGTCACTAAAGGTCGTCATTCACTATTTCTTGTTGACGTCTTTCTTGAGGAGGTCAATCCATCCCTGGTAAATTGTATATTTCCCAACGTTTCTGTTCATCTTTTCTTCGGTTGAAGCTTGGATATATATCGCTTCTTTTATTTCTCTTTGCTTCCTTTTAGCCTCAAATCCAATCACTGATGTGTTCTCCCATTTTATTGTATGTCCTGTGTCGTAGTTGTGTTCTGCCGTGGCTTCCGATGTTTGTGGGTCTATGTTGCCCGAATTGAGTTTTTTAACACTTTTTTGGTGTTCTTGTTGTCTAACTTTCACATTTCTTTTGCTTTCTCCAATATATACTTTAGGACATCCGTCACATTGCATTTTGTAAATGGGTCCTGGTTTTTCTACAGCGTTGATGGTGTCTTTGGGTCTCACGAGCAGTTGTTTCAAAGTCTTGTGCGGTTTGAAGTAAGTTTTGACGTTAAATTTGGAACACACTCGACGTATTTGTTGAGAGACTCCGTCCACATAAGGAATAACCATGACCGGGGATCGTTGCTGTGGTGCCGTGGCGTCTGGTGAAAGTGCAGCATCATCCTGTATTTGTTGTTGCGATGGTGCTGGTGCCCTTGTTGTCGATGGGGTTGTCTGGTGTTGTACTGGCTGGTGTTCTGCCTCTCGATGCTGTCTCTCGACTTTGCTGATTTCTGACTCCACGTATTTAGCTGGGTATTTGTTCTTTCGCAGGTTATTTCTGATATGGTCAAGTTCCCTTTTCCGTATTTCTACACTGCCGCAGATGTTGAAGGCTCTCTGGGCCAGGGTGTGTATGACAGTCCGTTTGTGTTCCTGTGGGTGATGACTCAGGTAGTTAAGATACTGCCCGCTTGATGTTGGTTTGTAGTAGACATCTGTCTTAATCTTGCCGTCAGGGGAACGCTGGAGAGTCATGTCCAGGAACGGCAGCCTTCCGCTTTCTTCCTTTTCCACCGTAAACTTGATAGATGGATACAGTGAGTTCAGAGTTTCCAGGAAAGGTTCGATTTCAGACGGTTTCACTGCTGCTAGGATGTCATCCATGTATCTGTGCCAGATGTATGGGGCCGTTGGATATGAGTCTAATACTCTCTTTTCCAGGTTTTCCATGAATATATTGGCCACGACTGGTGCCACAGGTGAGCCCATAGGTGCACCGAACAGCTGTTGATAGAAGCATTCACGGAACTGGAAGAAGGTTGTCCTCAAAACGAGCTCCAGCAGCTCCACGATGTCGTCAGGAGTGAGGCTCGTTCTGTCTGCCAGGTCTTGGTCATTCTCAAGTAAGGTCTTGGCTTGTGAAATGACGATGTCCAGAGGAACGCTGGTGAACAGCGCTGACACATCAAATGACACCAGGACATGATCGCTGGGTACTGTGGTGTCACGCAAGATTTCGGAAAGTTCTTTAGAGT